ACTATTTTCTGTAAAAACGTCAGTCGGTTTGTTTACATGTCATTTGTACAACACTGATTTGGCTGAAATATCACTAACTAATTACTAAAATCTATAGTACATATTCAAATATTTCGTTGTTTACTTCCATTTTACTTTTATTTTTTAATATTAGGTCCTTTGCTTACACCGCTTTCTGTTTTTGTTTACACATGTAAATCAGCTGATCGTTTGACACTTTTCATGAACTTACAGCAAAAAAACCCCGGACTAAATTCAGTAACTTCGGACTAGGAACAGTTGCTCAGTTACTCTCTCAAAAGTGTTCCCACTTATAGGTTTTATGTCAATAGGAACGACTTCCTGTAAGTTCTGACTAAATGCTGTAAACCGGACTGCTATTGGAACAGACTAATTGATGTACGTACATACGTATGTGTATGATAGGACGCGGTGTTTATCGGAGCTATTTTAAGTGGTTCGGAAACGACATCTCACCTCTGTGAGCAGTGTTACCGCCGAGAATTTTCATAAGGTCGCAAAAAAGGTGTCATTGACGAAAAAAGGGTCACCATATATTTTTTTTGCTTTTCTTTACTAGTAAAAACATAAATCAGTTGAATTTAAAAAGAAAATAGCGGGATAAGCTTTGCACAAAAAAGGGTTGCAAACATACACATAAATCTAGTTGCTGCAAGGAGAAGAGTTGCATTTCCTTTAAAACTTTTAAGTGATGCATTTTTGCGTACTTACAGGGAGAAATATTTTGTAATAGCATGGTTCTGTTAACATTTCCTAAAAAAAAACTCTGTAAAAAGGAAAAAAGTCGCTTATAATTTTGGAAAAGGGTCAAAAAAATCCAATTTTTCAAAAATTCGGGTCAAAGGGTATTGATGCTTAAAAAAGGTCAAATTGCCCCTTTAGTCGCACAACGGCAACCCTGTCTGTGACCAGTCTGCAACGTTAACGAAGACGCTTGCCATGTGTTCTTCAGCTGCCCATGCTTCAATGCTGAAACATGATTGCCCGCATAAACAAGCGGTTGAGGGAAGATGATGTCAGGCTAAGCTTAAACTTGTGACCAAGGACGTGACAGGTTCTCATTTACGTGTTAAATACATTCAATTGTGAGTTTGACATAGTAGATGGTGTGGGGGGGGTTAACTGATCCGACAGGCATGGTGTTCATGTAAGCAAATACGTGAGCGGGCCAAGTAGATGCAACTTCACTTACTGCATCGGGACTGAACTGACTTTGAGAATATTGGTCACACCGCGTACCGGGGGCGAAAATGGTACGGAACGGTTGGAGGTTTAGTTCGGCGTAAAGTCCCAAACTGACGGGGTACAGGCTTTCGATGCTTCCTCCTCGAAAAAAGGAAAAAAAACCTATGTGTATGGAAGAAAATGTAGCACCATCACACAGTGGGAGAAATGACGAAAAAGCTTGCCAATTTTCCAAAAATAAAAGTTCTCCGACTGTTGCAAAACATGGTAATTTGCCAAGAGGAAGGTCCATTTCGTAGTGAACGAAAGGTGTAAGACACCCTTTTTTGGGTATTATTCCCTATACTTGCTATTTTCACTAAAGTTTGTGCTGCTTTTCTCATTGGCTTTAAACTCTGCTTAGGAAATTTGATTTTAAAATCGTGGTTAAAGCACTTAGTTATTTTTTGCGAGATAGACAGGGTTTCTGACGGTATCTTAAATAATCTAATGGTGATCTCGTTTCTACGAAAAAATCTCACCTTTTCATTGCTCCTTTCCCTTTTCGCGTTCGATTCTAAATTGAAGGAACAGGGTGAGAAAATTTTGTGTTCGTTTCTTAAAATGTAACACTGTTGTGAGGCAAAGAATTCACATTCTCTGCCCTTTCAAGCTTTGTCAGAGGAGGTGGTTGCCCCGCAAATCAGGTGGTTGTTGAAAACGAAAATCTTTATATATAAAAGAGGATGTATGTATGTGTCTATGCAGCTTATAGACTCCGAAACCACTCAGCGGATTTCGTTAAAATTTCCAGGATAGCTTCATAGAAATCCGGAGAGTGTTCCTATGAAGTTTGGCTATTTTTGAAAGAGTTTCCACCCGTCAGAAAAATAAAATTTATTTAAATATGCAAGTAAAGTATTACGATGTAGATATCAAATGGAAGGTATTTGGGAAAGATATTTAAGAAAATTTACATCAAAAAATATTTTAATTAGTGTTGCCACCTGGTCAAAAATTGAAAAATAATGAATAATGCAACTCACACCAAATATTACAATATGTGTATCAAACGGAAGGTATTGGAGAAACATTTACATATTTTTGAGTAGAGTTGCCACCTCTTTCAAAAAAACTAAAATGACATAAATGTGTACATTAAAAAGTATTTCGCACGATACGTATCAAACGGGAGCTATCGGGAAATGTTTCAGTCAAGACCAATTATTATATAGGGTTGCAACATACCTAAGAAAATAAAATCGGATAATATTTTTAAGAAATACCAAAGATATATAGTGTGATAAACTTCAAAGTCTGTCAAACCCAAAGCTTACCAGAAGAAAATGCCGATTCTAAATTTTTAAATCTGTATGTATGCACCTCGATCAACGGCTACAGAGGTGTTGAACGCGTGCTCAAAAGCATCGCATCTGTGGAACTATGTCGAAAAAATTACGCTCCCAACAAATATGCGAGTGCATTTGCTGCAATATGCGCCTGCCTAAATATTTTCAAAGCAACTTTTGGATATCGGAAACGGTGAAGTTCTATTGATCGCACAACAAATGAGATATCTTTTCCGTCCAAATTTTGTCAAATACAACAGAGCATTCAAGACGTCATCGACAGAGTATTTCCGAACTTAGCGATCAACTACCGATATCCGGAATGGCTCCGCACACGTGCAATTTTAGCTCCGAAGAACGATGATGTTAGTAAATTAAATGGTCAAATTAAATTGAAAATTCTAGGAGAAGCAGTCGAATATAAATCGATTGATGCAGTAATGGATAAAGATCAAGCTGTTAATTACCCAACTGAATTTCTTAATTCTTTGGAGCCACCTGGAATGCCTCCTCATTCGTTGGCGTTAAAGGTTGGATCTCCAGTGAAGCTTATTCGGAACTTGAATGCGCCAAAACTGTGCAACAGAACCAGTGATAAAAAAAAAATTAACACCGAATTTGATCGAGGCAACAATCATCAGCGGTATATTCAAATGGGAAGATGTGCTGATTCCACGTATACCGATAATTTCAAATGATTCAACGTTCGAATTCAAGCGGTTTCAATTCCCATTGCGTCTTGCTTTTGCAATAACTATAAATCAAGCACAAGGGCCTGTTCACGAGTTGGGTCACCACAAAATTTATATATTTACACACCAAATGAAAAAACTTAAAATATTGTTTACCTGTTAGCATTAAGGTAAATAAAAAGGTCTTCAGTTTCAAAACTCTAAATACATGTGTCTTTCTTTGACGTAGCAACGCGCGCCTAGTATTTATTATGAAATGCGTAAGCTGGACAAGGACAAGACGGCAAGAACGTGCCCTTTTACAGGGTTGAGTGTAACATTTTGCACCGAAGAAGGGCAACACTTTTTGGATGAAACGAAATCACAATAAGTCATTAATTTAAAAATTTTGACACAAGTAAATATATTTAAAAATTAATTGTAAAAGCTGGAGATAGTTGAAGAAGTTATAATCGCGGAAGATCGGGCTATTCTGCACTTTGAAGATAATAGCAAAAAACACGTACTTCAAGAATTCAAAAAAAAAATAACCAGATTCGTCCAAGTTCTGTTGTAATTCACGACTGAATAGCGCGATAAAGTAATAACAGTGCTCATTGTGTTGTGTGGAAAACTTACACAGGGCAACACTGATTTTGGTGCGGCAAATGTTAAAGCTGTTTTTGATAGACTTTTTTGTGTTGACCACGAATCCGCAAGTATAAAGTTCCTATCAGGTCCAGATTTTGGGTAAAACGAGCTCAAAGTATCATAAAATCGCGTTTTTTGCAATATTTGAGAAGCTCTAGCTATGAAAGAAAAGGCGATAGAACCTTCCAATCAGGCTTAAATTGAAGCTAGAACTCTCGACTACTGTCCCTGAAAACACCGTCCCTGCACCTTAAACTGATGATAATCTATAGTAATTTATTAACCAAAAAAAAATATTGAGAAAAAATAATTTTGCTAAAGTCAGTTTTTGCTGATCAATAAATGACTGGAAGTGAACTTTGGGTCAAGATGCAGGGATGGCATGTTCAGGGACTGTATTCGAGTTTTAATTTAAGCGTAAAAGGAAGATTCTATCACCTTTTGTTTCTTTGTTAGAACTTCCCAAATATATCGTTTTGAGTTCTTAAAAAATACCGTTATATGGGAATTGGTGTATTTATGGGCGGATTTTGTTTATAAAACATCTTATACTAATATTCACTAAAGAAGCTTGTGTTGCAGATTTGAAGTCTCTAGGTTAATTTTTACTATATATGGCCAGCTTTTCGCGATTTCTGCCACTGTGCGTCAGAAAAAAAATTCAAAATCATGGTAAATATGGTGGTGCTATTGAGCGAAAAATGATAATCCGAATGGAGGGAATTAGAAGGAAATCTGAAACAGCGTGGACGTTTTTAAAAAGTTTATAAATTCTCCCGGTCTGCTTTGACCTCGTTCATAGAAGAGTGACTAAAATACCCTAGATTTTGCAGCTTGGATACTTCCTTCAGCGGTGAGTTTTCTATATTTTATCGCCTGACAATGTAAGCTTTGCTACTAAAGCAGGGATCACATGATTGGTAGATTTTGGACAGATTTGTTCACTTTGGCAGTCACAGAGTGGTCTTGTTTAGAAATTTAAGTTCAGCTCAATAAAAGAATTTCGCGACAACACCACTCTGCGGCTGCAAAAATGTACAAATCAGTAGAAATGTACACATCGTGTGATCCCTGCTTAAGGAATCAAATACTGAGTTGAATTTTCGAATGTATTTTATTTTCAATAAATTATCGTAATTGAATTTATATAGACATAAGTATTTTATTATTATTATATAATTTACATGATTTTTTGCTCGTTAATAATAGCTTTTCGTTTAGTTATTTAATGAAAAGGTGCTTTCTTCATTTTGCCAAATGTTCTTATTCCTTGGAGATGTTGAAAAATATAAACAAACATGGTTTAGATTTTCCCAGAACAAAGGCAAAGCTATATACATACATAAATTAACATATGGCAACTTTAATGAAAAGTGATGAAGAACGAATGGTGCATGACATGAAAAGAGAATGAATGCCACGCTTAATAATAAATAGAATGGCGCGATATAGGTAAGAACTTAAACACTAATGACAGCTTATGGTAGTAAATATTTCATTGCTTGGTGATGAAAATTCGTTCATTCAAAACATTAAATATCCTGTGATTATCGATTAATAATAAATTAAGTAGTTGCATAAGAATTTTAATGGTAACTAGCATCGATCTTACATATGTAACTACGAATATACACCCAGTCGCTGTAAAGCATGCGGTGTGTGCGCCACATTTTTTTTTTTGTGACTGGTTTTCATATCAATACCCAATAGTAATTTTTTATTTCACTTTCCGCTAATGCTTCGCTTGCTCATCTTCTACCTCTGCTGCCACAATCGGTTTAAGTTCCTTTACAGTCGCCATTTCTTCGCCATCGGCATTTACATGCACTTCAACCTTTTCGGATTCCGCAACTTCTGGCTCGTGTTCGTCGTCGGGCGTTGCATCTTCGCTAATGTCTGTATCGGAACGACTTTGTGCGCCATGGCCATAAGAGCCGCTATTTTGATTTGTGATCACTTGCACGGAATGCTGGTGTTGCACATTCTTGGACTGGGGCTGTTCGATGGCCGTCAAAATGGACTGCAGTAAACCTTCGGAGAGTATTTCCTCATGGTTGGCCGATTGCTCGGTTTGAATCGACTTGACGCCATTGCCCGCGATATCCAACTGGAAAGTCGGTTCGTGTTGCGAGTGCGCTGCGCCACTTACCTGCTCGGGTGA